CCATATAAGGTCACACGTGACCATAGCACTTTTGAATCCAAAAAGAAGAAGCCGGATCGCGCGGCACCGTTGTGCCACGTATGGGACTTGACCATCGGCCTTATCCACATCCTCCTACAAGCACAATAACTGGTCAAACTAAAATATCTCATTTCGTTGCACCAAAAGTCCATGCATCGTTCACATGGCCCGCATTGAGGTCGTGTACTCGTGTGTGCCGTCTGTGATCTGAGGGTTTGTTATAAATGGGGCACTGCTGCACTGCTAGCTCAGTTCTTCATTGGCCGGCAAAATAGTTTAATCTTCTAGAACCGTTGTGTGTGTATGTCCTAAGAAATGGAGACTTCCGAGTTAGCTGAGTTAGTCCCGGGTTTACCTCCGGAACTCGGTCTCGAGTGCCTGATTCGTTTACCTTACACCGGCGTTCGCACCGGCGTTCACCGAGTGGCTTCCGGTGTTAGCCGGCGATGGCGGGATTTACTTCAAAGTCAGGATTTTTATTATCACAGGAAGAGGTATGGGTATACTCATAAAGTTGCTTGCTTGGTTCAAGCTTTTACTGCTGCTGCTGCTGGAGTCGTTGATGGGCAAAAACCAGGTGACTTACTGTTTTATGTGGTTACTGTGTTTGATTCTGTGAGTCAGTCGTGGGAGCGACTTGACCCGGTACCCGGTCACCCAAATGGGTTGCCTTTGTTCTGTCAATTGGCGAGCTGTGAAGGGAAATTGGTGGTCATGGGTGGATGGGATCCGGTGAGTTACGCCCTGATTAGGGATGTTTTCGTCTATGATTTTACGACGCAGCGGTGGAGACAGGGGAAGGAGATGCCGTCAAAGCGGTCGTTTTTCGCAGCCGGGGCTTGTTCGGGTCGAGTCTATGTGGCAGGCGGGCACGATGAGAACAAGAACGCGTTGAGAACCGGATGGGTTTATGATCTGAGAGTGGACGAGTGGACGGAGTTGCCTCCGATGAGTCAAGAGCGTGATGAATGTGAAGGGGTGGTAATCGGAGATGAGTTTTGGGTGGTGAGCGGGTACGGTACGGACAATCAAGGAGACTTTGAAGGAAGCGCCGATGTGTATGGATTCGGGTCGGGCCAATGGAGGCGAGTCGAGGGGGTTTGGGAGAGGGGTCAATGCCCGAGATCATGTGTCGGAACGGGGAAAGATGGGGAATTGATGACATGGGCTAACTTGGATCCTGCAATCCGGGTGGCAGCTTGTGGGGTTATGTTAGGGGGTGAGGTCCTGGTTACAGGGTCAGGGTACCGAGGTGCACCACATGGGTTCTTCATGCTGGAAATCAAGGATGGGAAAACAGGGAAGTTGGGAAGAATCAGTGTGCCTGATGAGTTTTCTGGGTTTATTCGATCAGGCTGCTGTGTGGAGATCTGATCTGATTCTGTGTTAAAACCAAACAGGATGTGTCAATGAGAGGTACCTTTTTATGGGCTTCTCTCCATATTATGAGTATATATAGTATATAATATGAGAAGACATCAAACCCCTGTTAAACCTATGTGTACTCTAGGAAGAACGGGGATCTGCTTCTGTATAATATGAGATGGTGTGAAATTTTGATGTATTTGTAGAAGAGAATTCTGTTTTATACTCTGCACTGATTCGAACCGTAAAATACTTTTTACTTTGTAGAATGTATAATTGGGATTTAAGAGTTTAATCTATTCTCCAGATGGGATGAGATCCTTGTGCTGTGCTGTGCTGTCGAAGTTTCTAATTGGCATTCATTCTGCATTTTGTTGGCAATTTATAAAATAGGAGGTAAACTCCATTGACTTTTGTATCTTAATCATGAACATTGGTATACCTTTTCAAGTGGGCAAAACTTTACGTTAAGCCGCTCAAATTTTCAATTAAACTCTAAACTTTTATTATAAAAGATAAAACTCTTCAACTAGG